TCCTTTCATTTATGTGATAGGGCTGCATTTAAAATGGACATTTACCACAAATTAAAGTTATCTTATATTATTAGATATATTATTATAAAACATGCTTTGGTTAAGGAGTTATTGATACTTCAAGTGCAAAATGATGATATAAAACCATGATAAAAATGCACTTTTAAGTACTAATCACATGGGAAGAGAAATGGTGTTGATGGTGGTCAGTGATAGGTCAATAGGTTATGAGAGAATGTTAATCAGTGCCATTAAAGAAGATAAAAGCAACCAAGTTTAATTCTTTTATTGGTTTCGGAGGGATGTTGACAGTAGAGGAGATGATGGAAGTCAGTGAGGATGATCTTTAGTTCTTAATTGCTATAAAAGAGGGTTGGTGGAGGAGGAAATAAGAGAGCTTTTTTATTATTTATAAATGGATGCGAGTTGGAGTGTAAGCTGATGAATGAGAAAGAGAAATGCACGAGTCATGTTTTTTAGGCCTAGTGATTTTTTATGTTATTAATTCTCTTCCAAAATCCTTGTGTATGTGTGTGAGATCCCCTCATTATTTATAGGAAAACTAATTTGTCTTTTTCCTCTTAATTGCTTAATCATTAGGCAAATCAAAATCACTTTAGTCCCTTGTTTTCTTTTCTTCTTTTTTTTTCTTTCTTTGTTTTTTTGCATTTTTGGTCCTCTTGTCCAAATATTATTTTTTCTTTTTAAAACAAGCATCATCAACGTTGACTTGATGATAAAAGCAAATCGATGATTTGAAATAAATGTGTTAAATGTTAAATACATTAAAAATAAATTTTATAATTTTTAATTCTTTTGAAAAGACACTGGAAATGCTAAAAACATTTTAAATATATTAAAAATATATTTTTTAGATTTTGTTTTAATTTTTTCAAAAAAAATAAAAAAAAGGGGTCAAAATTCGAGTTATGATAGTTATAACTCAATTCTAACCCCCCATTATTGAATATATTTTGGAAAATAAAAATATCTAAAAAAAATTATCTTTTCAATGATTTTTGTTAATTTTAATTATTTCATTATTTTCTTCTTATTTATTTATATTTTGTGTAAAAAGAAATAGTTGGGGGTTGAAATTGGCCAATAATTGAGCAAGCAAAAATGAAGTTTGGAAATTTTTGGGATATAATTGAAGGTTAAATTAAAAATAAAATTTATAAATGAGATCAATTTGATTTATTTTAGCTACGATTAAAAGAAATTTAATTTTTAAGAATGGCATTGAAATAAATATTCAAAATAAGAAGTAAATTATGAACTTATTTTAAGAATTGCATAATCTAAGGGCTAAATTAAAATTAGAAAGATGAATTAATTCAATTTAGAGTTTAAATTGAAATCAATTTAAAGATTAGAGATATCTTAATTGAATGAGATTGAAAAATTCAAAAGGAATGAACTATAATGAAAAGGATTAAATATTAAAGAGATCAATTGACTATTTTCATAATTTCATTTTAGGCTAATCAATGCAGTTAAATTAATCTCAATTAAGTTCAATTGAGTTAAATTAACTCAATTTAGCTTATTGAATTTATGTTTTCAGTACAATTTTATCTAATTGATTCAATTTAGTCTAGAATCCAAATTAAACTCCAACATTCAGCAATTAATTTTCAAATCTTTTGGTCATAAAGCACAATTGCAATCTCCTGATTCCCAGCTTTAAATCCCGCAGCCTCTTTAAATAAAAAAAATCTCTGGCAATTAACCATATAGTAATTGATCTATTACTAAGAATTTAGAATTAAAAATTTTATTTTTGTTTTCTGTGTGGTTTTGAATTTAATTCATGTGATTGTTAATATAATAATTATTGAAGATTTATATTATTGTTAATTTTAAAGATGGTAAGATTAGTCAAAATGGATACAAGATATCCTAAATATCTATATTCATAAATAAAAATCTCTGGCAATTAATCCCAAATTTCAAATCTACTAATTGAAATTTTCAATCCCATATTTTAAGATTCCAAGATCCAGCAATTCCAGCAATCAATATCCCAATTCCAGCTCTCAAATTCTAGAATTCTAACCCAAAATCTTCAATCAAGACCCAAAACTAATTCCTAAATTATTACCACAATCTTAGCCTGTGAGGGTCTTCAAAAACCGGCAACGAGAGAACTGGAAGGGGGGATTCACCAGGACCATACACAACACTCTGAAAAAAATACAGGGTGTCTCCCATGAAACCAGAGCAGGGGTCTCAAAGAAAAATCTGCAAAAAAAAAAAAAAAGGAAAAAAAGAGAGAGGAAAACAACCCAGACCAGCCTCTGATTCCAGAGCACTAGACCATGCATTGCCTTCACCAACACTGGAAAATCTTCCAGCTTCCCTAAGCCTTCATCCATCACACAAACAGCCACCATCTCTTCCTTTCTATATTTACCCGAAACTGACATCACACCCATCAGTTCCCACCCCATCACAGACTGAACCAGCCGTTCCACAACACACACAAATCAACCTCACCCCCTCTCGGCCACAACCTTAAAACCCGACAGCCTTTCTCTCTAACCTTAGTTCCTCCACACCGCTGCCCCCTAAAGTGTCCAAACAAGACCCATCTCTAACCCTTCTTTCCCGAGATCACTCGCCACCATCTCAACCCAAACCACCACTTCCCAGTTCAAACCAAACCTAGCCACTGTAAAGTCCAGCCGAGACAACCCTTCACTCTCTCATGGATTGACCCTAGAACCACCACCACTGTCAACATCCTCCACCTTATTTTCTCACGCCCTCAAACCAATCAGTCTTCCTTTTTGATAAACCAACAAACCCGTAATTAATAATAGCACATGCGAGCCTTCTTTATCCAAACAGAGATGACTTCCGTCTTCAAGTCTTCCATACACACCATCGCTATAAGAATACAACATTGGGAGTCGTCTATATAATGAATGACTTGCAGTCGCCACTATATCGTGACCGTTAAGAGACTTTAAGAACTTGAGAAAATAAAATAAAGATAAAACAGAATTTATTATAAATGCTCATCCATATTCCAAAATTCTAAAATCCTGCATATTTCATTACACAAGCAGGTTATAAGTTGAATCTTTTCTTAAATATTTGAGTTTTTTTTATAAAAAAAATCATAATATAAGAGAAGTCTAGAGTAATCTTTATTTTTATAGTGATATAGTAGTAGCAAATTTAATCTGTTATTTCAAGGTCAAATAAATAAATATAGAAACTCACGTGAATAATTAGAGAAGACCCTATGTATTCCCTTCACATTATCGTGAATTTTGATTTAGAATAGGAGACCCTGTGAAGAACAAGACAAGAAGCGTGTCAAATTCTTAGAGGGTTGCCTGAAGATATTTAATGGATTGTACCATCGGCTACACCGGTACGTTTAAACCGTGCATGGATTGGTAGAATGCAGTTCGATGCATCTTGCTTTTTCTTGGTCAACAGTTGTCCAATTATTGATAGAGGAGGAGGTTAAGCGAGGAACCAAGTCGAATAAAATTGCAACACAGCTATATATATCCTTTCACGGACAAGGCAAACAGACTTACAACTTAGCAACCCAGGTACCTGGGACCCAGCCCCACAACACTACTTTGGCAAGCGCCCGGAACATCCGTACGCCACCAAATTGCAGCCAAAACTCCTCTTAGATTTGATCACCGGTTACCTCTTCCAGTTAGATACTGTCCTCCTCCGAGCCCCTAGCGAGGGGCAAGGCCATCAAAACCAAATCCAGCCACTGGCGGAGGGAGGGAGAGGTAACTTTACCACCATTGATTGATCACAATCCCTTCCTACCACCTCCCAACTAACCGGAAAACATCCATCACCCCAGCCAAGCTCCCGTGCACATGTAAAGGAGACAAGAGAGTAGAACTGAATCCACATAATCAAAGCGCCTCTCCCAAGTAGGAGCTTCAGCGAGGAAGCTCCAGCTGACCACCACCCTAGATCCACTTGCCGGACCACCACCACAAACAATAAACAAGGTTACCATTCACAAAAATACCACCAGCAAAGGAACGGTCTCATGGCATCACCCCCAGCCGCGCACATATAACTGGTGGCCCAAGAAAAAAATAAAAAAGACCTACCGGCAAGGCCCTTATAGACAAGACAGTTTCACTATCTTAAGTTACAACTTGAGGACTCGCTCAAACTTCAGTCATGAATCCATGGCATAATGGTTTCAGCAACACCTATCTTTTCTTTTTTTTTTAATCAAAGAGATAACAACACAATCCAATTACGAAAAATACCAATTTCACGCATTTGTTCCCAATGCACATAAGGTGTAATTTTTTCAAACAAAGTACAAGACACTGCATGTTTACATTATGCCTAAGAGACCCAAGTCTAAGAAGTTGTGCAAAGATATAGCTGCAATCCTATCACTAAGCATCAACTATATTAATTAGGTCACAGTCATGCCACGGTCCACAATGAAAGCTAAAGAGACATTATTGGCTGGATAGGAGTTGCTTCACTACAAGCCTAAAACAATCCTCGTTGTTCAATAAACTCTCGGACAAAAATACATGGAATAAACTGCTTAAAGGCCAATAACGGCATAAAAACTTAACCAAGAGAATAAAACCAAGCCACCTCTGAGTGTGCATGAAAAACCTACTGAAAAAGGGTTCTCGTCAAGTGTTCACGAGCTGTAGCCAATGCTTGACCTATTGTCTGCAATATTAGAAAGGGAATTTATGGGGTGACGTTAGGAAACTAAAGGAGAAAAGTATGGTTAGCACAAATATAACCTAGAGAATGTTAAAGCAGGGGTTCTCTCTGGCAGTTTTAAAGATTGATAATTTTATTAGCAATTCAATACTTCCATTCCATGGTAACATTTAAATATTCAAATACAACAAAGAACATTACAGGGAGGGAATCAAACCTGCTCCGATAGAGGTGCAGTAGGATCCATGCTATTTACAGCCACCTTTCCAGCAATAACATTGGCATCTGTTTCGAGGATCATGCTGCCAAGCAAGCACAAATGCAGGAAATACATGTATAAGAGCTTGACCATCATATTAACCAGGCAGCATCACGAGCAAAAAATATGCAGATTGCAGGAATAGAGAACCTCCATAGGGAAGGAAGCATGGAAGGGACTTGTACTCGTACCATCTTTTGTTGCTGTAATATACAGCATATAGTTTTAATGTGTCAACAAGGTGACATAAAGATTGCACCACTTCTATATTTGACCAGACTATCAAATGCTTCATATTCAGAAGCACGATCAGAAACTTGTTTTTAAAAATCTTAAGCTGGCGCAAGTAAATCGAAATTAAATTACTTTCACCAGTTAAATGATAGCTAATGAAATGGGGAAAAAATCACGTTCAACTAGGAGGACAGACTTTAACAATCACGTTAGGATGCTAAGATTTGATCATCCAAGCCCCATATGAGGATAGATTAGAGAGCTTGTTTACAAAGAAAATACTAATTCTGACATGCCACCACCACTGGCTAAAATTTCAACAGTCATTTAAGTTTCCATTCATTTGGTTTATTTTCCAATTTACTTTTACTTTTCCCCTTATGGTGAAAAAGAATATACTTCTCTTCAAAAATTGAACTATGCTGGCTTCCTTTCTGTCAAAATATACACCATAATTAGAAACAAAAGAAGGTGAATTGAAGCTCCGGGGTCAATTTGTTTTCTGTAGATAAAAAAGCTACTAGTTACATCATACTTTGCAAGGATGATCTACCAGGAAAAAAACACTATTCAAGGAAAAGATAATACTCTTACTTGGAAAGGAAAAAATGAAAAGGGAAAGAAAAGGAGTGAAATGGAATCGAAAGAGAATGGAAAAAAAAAAGAATATAATTTTCCTCCTTGTTTAGATGGGTTGAAAACGAGAAGAAAATGATCTTAAACAATATAAAATGGAGGAAGTGATTTATTATAAGTATGTGCCCTCACACATTAATGTAAAGGATTAGGGAAAAATTGGTAAAACTAGAAAACCTAGAAATTTCCAGCAGATTCTCTCCATTTTCCCCACTTGTGCACCGAGCGAAATAGTGGGCCAATATGGGAAATTTTCATCCTGCTTCCCATTCTCTCCACTTTCTCTTTCCTTTCCAAACAATGAAAAAGTTCACTCACCTCAAATTTTCATTCTGCTCATTTTTCCCCTCACTTTCTCATCTCCCAACCACATTGTCTATAATCAAGTGGGTCCTAGGAAGGGAAATTTAGCGACTCCCACCCTTCCATAAAGTTGCATGAAGTGGTTGTACTTAGGGCTTGAACTAGCAACCTCTGTCAACCTCTGTCACACAAGACCAAGATTCTGTTGTACTAAAACAACAGTCCTCATGGAGAGGGAAAGCGAAGGGCTAGAAAATCATAATCAATTCATGTTTGTGTGATTTAACCAAATGTCTCTCAGAAGGTTTGGATGAGAAACAGAGAATGGGATTGTTTGGATAGGATAGATGTTTCCAGTTCCTTGATTATTTTCTCATTCTGTAATAATCATCATATATTTGAATGCGTACTGTCCTGCAAAGGCCAAGAAAAGGTAACAGAACCATTCCACTACAGCTGCCATAAACACGCACACCAAACAGTTATACAAAAACTACAAACTCACCTACGCTACAAACTGCCAGTAATAATACAGTACCCCAGAAGACAGCATGAATACAGAAGGACTATAACTTCCAGTTGACTCATCTAGTGTTCTGTAGCATATGAAACTTTCAATTTGCAGGAGTTTATCCATCAAGGTTACATGTAAAAAACTGCATTTTAACTAACAGTTTTTTTAGTTAATTAAATTTTCCTATATCATGAATTGGATAATTCCAATTCCTGAAAAAAAAAATAAAAAAACACATAATTATTCTACCACTATCAAAGTAAACATAAAAAAAGTGGGGCAAAAAATATTAGTTGCGTACCCTCTTTCAACAATCTCATCAAGGCATAAGAAAATGAGATCTAAGTTTTCAAGTGCCTCCCTTTTGTCGACATTGCTCCTAAAACAATGATATGGAAAAGTAAATCACACAATCATTAAATCAAATTAAGAATCAGTTAGAAGTTTGACCAGAAATACCTCAAGAGGAGAGAGACTGAATCAAAGAAACCCTGAAGAACAGCAGCTAAAATGAGTTCATTTTCATCCTCACCTCCAGTCACATAAAAATGGAGGTCCTGGACAAATTTGTAGATGACAATGTTACTGTCAAACATTGTAATCTCCGCTGCATACAACAACATATCAGGAACACAAGTCACATGGTATCTCATAGCTTGCACACTTGATTGAGCAGAATTTAAAGTCTCATAATTAACCTTACTACTTTTAGTTTCAGGGGAACACATTTCAAGACAACATGCCAGAAGCCAGGACTGTGAAGATTAGATGAAAATGCAGACATTTTAGAACCCTAGCAGTCCTCCTAAAACATAATCTGGCAATTTTTTCAAATGTCAAGAACCTCCATTAACTAACTTAAAAGTAAGTTGTAAAGGTATGAACTGTTAAGAAGGTTTATAAACAAAAAAGCAAGAGCGTTGCTGACTGAGAACAAGCAAGATACAGAAATTTCATCTCATTCAAAGCAGCACTCCCAATTAAGACTTGAACAAGTTTTCCAAATTCAGAAAATTCTGCCTATTAATTAAGATCCTTCATCTGCAAATGATTATAGAAAATAACTTTGGAGAAAAAGACAATGATTTTTATGGCGTGAGAAAAATATGCATTTGCTCATGCATTTGGAGAGATGTAAAGCAGGCAAGTAATTTTGGATTCAACAGAAGAGGATTTTGAGTTGCACCAAATTCTGCAAGATCTTGTTTCTAAAGAGTACATAGCAAGCACAAATAATTAAAGACAAAACCTATAGTTTATGAACATTGTACTGTGCTTGCAAAAAAAGAAGGGAAGTATATATGCAAACTTGTATTTGCTTTTCTTGCACAATACAAAAATATCTTTTTCATTGACTTGATAAATAAGCTTTTTGGTTTGCTTCTTAAATAAAATTTTGAAGTGAATGAATACTACTTGATTATTGTGACTGCATGCCATTAAAGAGGTAATTCATATTCAGTTAGCAATCAAACTGAATAATTCCTCAAAGATGCACAACTTTACTTTTAAAAAGGTTCAAATAGCTTAACAAATTTATGCAGCATTGTCAAACCTTCTGTGCGGGCATTTGATTTCATAGTCTTTGCAAAAAGTGATTTTTCAAAAGCTAACTTTGCATTATTGGTCGGCCAGTCATCTGAATAGTATTTGACCGCAACTCGCTTCCCTTCAGAGTCTAGCAGAAGAATGTTTTTCACCATGGGGCAGGAATCCTATCCAAAAAAAGAAAAAGAGAAAGGTGGCATCACTCATCATCACAAGCAATATATATATATATATATATATATAAAACTAGTCAAAACAAAAGTATTTCCAGATTCCAGATTTTCCTTCACATTCTCAGCAACCAAACAGACCTCGAATACACACATTTCACAAATAATTTAAATAAAAAAATCTAAAATCAAATTCCACACGTAATTACACCAGATCTCAGCAAAATTCACAACCTCGACACTCCGTTTGGTTCCTAACAAATCAAAGCTAACATTTAAAGCCTCCGGTTCCTAGCAACCAAAGAGAGAGTAACTGATTCCGAAGTCATGCAATTTATTCAACTGTGTAATTCAAGGCTAACGATTTATATAAGGAGATATGTAATTAAAATGATAATAGTAAGAAATCAATGCAGATTGGAACAAATTCGACGAGGATGGTATAAAACGACAGTACAAATTGGAAGTGAATAGCTAAAACGACAATAGATCGTGAACGTACCATATTTGCCGATCGGGAGAGGTGGAGATCCAGGTGACTCTTGGTGGGGGGGGTGGGGGTGTTGGGGTGGGGTTGTGTGTGCGGGGACCGAAAGAGCCACTACTTATGGAGGGCTCCTGAATGGGATAGTATGTACTTCGTTGATTTTATAAGATAAATTTTATGATTGATCTTTCTTTTAAAATTGATGTTTCATCTCCACGTATTTTTTTATTTAAAAATATATTAAAATTATATATTAATTATTTTTAATATTAATATATAAAAATAATTTAAGAAATTAATTTTAAATAAAATTTTTTAATTCTTTAGAAAACACGTTTTCAACTATATTTTTAAACACAATTTTAAATATTGTTTGAGATAATGGTAAATATTGTTTTTTAAAATGATTTTTCTTTTAAAATATCTTAAAATAATATTTTTTTTAATTTTTTTTATATTAACAGATTAAAATAATTTAAAATAATAAAAAAATTTAATTTTAGTCTAGACATATTTTTGAATATAGTGAAAAAATTTAATTAGGATTTAAAGATGTTTTGTGGTCTTTTTATATTTTTGCTATTATAGTAAAATGAATATAATATCCTTAAAAATAAAAAATAAAATTAAAACAAGCAATTTATAATTTTATCATGACCTTTTAGTTATTAGCAATGTAAATAGGGGCAAACTAGCGCACAATAATAATTACTCATTTTAGAGTGTGACATTGCATTTCAAAAGTGATTTTAAAAAAATTTGAAAATATTTTTTCTTTCAATTAATATGTTTTTAATGTGTTTCTAATCATTTTGATGTATTGATCTCAAAAATAATTTTTAAAAAATAAAAAATATTATTAACATACTTTTCTATGTGAAAGGTATTTTGAAAGGTAACATGGCCAAAAGATTAATATCTTCTTCCAAGTGCAAAGTGTTGAAGTAATAAATAACCTGATAAGACTAGGGTCGAACCACAAAGAGATTAATTGTATAAATTATAAATAACAACAATCCAACAATAAGAATAACAACAAGAATAATAATAAGAATAAAAATAAGAATAGTACTTGTAATAATAATAATCATAATAGTAATAGTAGTAGTGGTGGTAGTAGTAATAATAATAATAATAATAATAATAATAATAAAAGTAATATTAGTAATAATAATTATAATAGAAGAAGAAGAAGTTGATTGGAACTTTGAGATAGAAAATTAGTATAAGGATTAAACAATGATAACAAAAAATATCAAAGTTAAAGGATTCACTAATGGTATTTTAAACAAGTATAATATAAACTCTTTTTATTACTCAATTAAAAATAACACACAAAGAAGATTTTAATCGGATTATAAATTGTTAACATGATTACATTAGTAATCTTATTCGAATAATACTAATACTTGTAAATATTGTCAGGTATTCATGATTATAACTTACGTTAACAACAAATCAAGTTCTTTTCATAGTATAAGTGTCGATTATATTATAAGGTTCGGTTATAAAAGTGCCAAGTATTTGTTGTGCTAAGTGTTATACAACACAAATCTAAACTAACCATTTAATAAGCAAAGTATTAAAAGTAAACAAGATAATAAATACAAAACATGTTAGTGTCAAATAGTAAAGTTCATATTGAGTTTACACTATACTTATTCTTAAACCATTAGTACAATCTTTTCACATTGACATAATAAACTTAACTAAATATAATAAAAAAGAAAAACATAAATAAACAAGATAAAAACATAAATAAAATAAAAGTTAACTAAGTATAGAAAAGGAAATAAGAATAAAATATAAAAGATTAATATAAGTAAAACGTAAGCATTATAATAAAGAGAGAGCAAGAGCATGATCTTGATTTGAAAACCAAGATGACTAAATGCATGGCAAATGCCTCCTTTTATAGGCTAAAATTGAAAACTATTGATTTGTTGAAAAAATATTGAGTGGGTGACCAACTCTTGACTTGGAGTTAATCCTTATCTTCTTGTCTGAATAAAATGTCATTGATAATGTCAGAATTTGAACCAACCTTATGCATAAAAGTTCTAGGAAACTGTCTCAACTTAAAAAAAAAATGAGGTCATTTGGACTTCTAGAAATTGAGATATAGACTAAACATTGAACAGTTCTAAGTTGTATGACAGATTTAGACTTTTATGTTGTTACTAAGATTTGGACTTCCAAACAGTAGAATTGAGTCTTGCCTTTTGTATGAAAGTTTTAGGCCTATGTCTTAGCTTTTCATCTATATAAAGCAAACCTAAATTTCAGATCTACAACTCCAGATATAACCCAATTACCTAACAATGTTTTAGTTTGGATTGTATCAACATTTTTTTTTCTAAGGCTGACCTTCGTCCTTTCAATTTTAATACTTTAACTCATTAATCAATCCTTTCATTTATATGATAGGCTTACATTTAGGATGAACATTTACCATAAATTAAAGGTATCTTATGGTACCAAACTTGTTATTATAAAACATGTTTTAGTTGAGGAGTTATTGATACTTCAAGTATAAAATAATAATATAAAACCTTGATAAAAATGCATTTTTAAATACTAATCAAAAAGTAACCGCAAGCACACTTCCAAACATGTTCTTAGTTATTTCATCAATTACAAATATTCATTAAATTTAATATATCATTAATAATCAAATATTTTATCTTTTTACAAATTCATAATCATACATCAAATTTTATTATATATCAAAAGATAAAAATTACAACATTTTACTTAACGCAAAAACTATGAAGATCTATCAATGATGTCACTGATGTAGTGTTAGAGAAAGTTGATGTGAAATACATTGTAAGATAAGTAATAATTAAATGCATTATGTATACATACTATACTAAAATAAAGATGCACATGCAACTGCAATAGTGTAATTTCTTTTGAATGTAACCCTTTTCAAGTAAAACTCTTTCATTATGATTATTAACTTCTCAAACATAAATCCCATCATCATAAATCAATTTATTGCCATATACTTAATCCCTACTAAGACAATTGACTTGATTTCATACCATTAATCAAACTAGCCATCAATTGCATGATCGACTTAACACTTTTCAAAAATACTCCCCACTAATGTGGATGATTTAATTATTTTAAACCAATTCTCTATAATTCATTTCAAAACTTATTTCATATTTAACCTACCTAAGACTACAAGATAGTGTTTGATTATTATCTTAGGATAGAAGAGATGGAGACAATAAAGACAAAAATGTATTTGATTGAAAAGACAAAGATAAAAAATTAAAAATAAACATGTCTCTATAATAATTTTGGAATGAATTTCTGTACTTTTAAAACAAGAGATATAGAAGGGACATGAATTCAAAGATAATATCTTTTATTTTTTATTTCTAAAATATCCTTGTATAAAAATCTCAATTTCAAAATTGTCCAATTAAGACATATAAAGATAAAAAAAAAATTATTATTATAGTTTTAAAACACAATTCAAGAATCAACTTGAGGTATAACTTAGGTCACCGATTGAGGTCCAGATCATGGGTTGACCTGAGTCAACCTAAAAATAAAAGTAATTATTATCATAGTTCTAAAACCCAATGGGTCGACCCAGACAAGACTTAGGTTACGATTGAGGTTGACTATTGATTCAAGTCAATGTAAAGATAAAAATAATTATTAATATAGTTTTAAAACCCGAATCAGGACCAACTCAGGCTAAGGCCCAGGTCACGTGTTAGAATGATCAATATAAAATAAAAGTGATTATTATAATATTTTAGCCCTAGCAAGGCTACAATAAACAAAAACCTAGCAAGGTTTTGAGACCAACAAGGCTCTAATTTATCATAAGTCTAGCATGGACAATCTAAAGAAAAATTAGAAGATAGTCCACCTCAAAAAGGGAAGGTAAGTCATCTTATTGGAAAAAAAATCTAAGACATCACCATCCATCATTCATAAAAAATCCTAGATATTTTTCACACCACGAGTAGGCTACCTAAACACAAGCCATGAGTAGATCACCTAATTAGAGACTATGGGTAGGTTTCCTGATCACGAACCATGGGTTGGTCGCCTAAAAGAGACCATGAGCAGGTTATTTGATCACGAACCATAGGTTGGTCACCCAAACAAAGACCATTTGTAAAAAATACTAGTTATTTTTCATGCTATGGGTAGGTTAGCTAATCACAAACCATTAGTTGGCTGCCCGAACAAAGATCAATCATGAGAAATCCTAGTTATTTTTCTGATTAGTACTTAAAAATGCATTTTTATCATGGTTTTATATCATCATTTTGCACTTGAAGTATCAATAACTCCTTAACTAAAATATATTTTATAATAATGTATCTAATAATACAAGATACCTATAATTTGTGGTAAATGTCTATTTTTAATGCAGGCCTATCACATAAATGAAAGGATTGATTGATGACTTGAAGAACATAAATTGCAAGGATAAAGAGATGGCCAAACTTAGAAAAGAGATGTCGGTGCAATCCAAACCGGAACACTGTTCGGTAAATGGGTCATATCTGGAGCTATATATCTCAGATTTAGGTCCAATTTATATGGATGGAAAGGTAAGACATAGGCCTACAACTTTCATATGGAGCCCAAGATCTAAAAAGGCCATTATCAAGTCCAAATTGTAGCAACAACAAAGAAGCCCGAATCTGTCTTCCAGCCCGAGCACTGTTCGGTATTTTGGCCATATCTAGAGTTCTAGAAGTCCAAATGAGCTGAAATTTTTACACAAGAAAGCTGAGACAATTGCCTACAACTTTCATGTTTGCAACTGGCTCCAATTTTGACGTTATCAATGACGTTTTGGGCAGACAAGAGAAGATAAGGATTGTCACCAAGTCAAAAGTTGGCCACCCACTTATCAATTAGTCATCAAATCAATAGTTCCCATTTTTGGCCTATAAAAGGAGGCATTTGCCATGCATTTAGGCATCTTGGTGTTCAGATCAAGATCATGCTCTTCCTTTCTCTCTTTGTATTTTTTATGCTTTGTTTTCATTAATATTAAGTTTATGCCTTTCATTTCCTTTCCTTTACTTAGTTAACTTTTATGTTCTTATTTTGTTTATCTATTTTGCTTTCTTTCATTATGTCTAGCTAAGTTAATTAT